GCCGGCCAAGGCAGGTGCCAGCCAGGGAGCCCCTCTGATCGCTGAGAGAGAGAGACTCTTCAAAGTATTCATCACAAGGAAAAATATTGTAACTATGTGAGGTGGTGGGTGGTAACTACACGGATAGTGGGGTGATAGTTTCATAACCGATACAATTAACAAACCATTGGCTTGTACACCTGAGACTAATAGGATGCTATAAATGACCTCAAAAAAGATAGTCCTGTTAACATAAAAGAAACCACACACGCATTCAAACCTGTAAAGCATTTTGGGAGTTCATTTGAGCCAAACTGCCCACAATCGCCAGGAAGCAGAATTTCAAACTATTGGGAGAATGCTCTGGAGAAGGGCTGTTTTTTGCCTATTTTTACACATTGCAATCGAAGGAGGAGCGGAGGTGGGTGACACGAAACCCACTGGGGATGGGTCAGGGAGGCGGGAGCAAGCGAAGCGGGGAAACCCTGGGATTGGCTAACAAGTAAGATGATGGACACCTGCCCCCTTCCTTAGGGTGCAGGAGTTAACAGCCAGCAGTGAGCTCAGGACAAGGAGAGGTCTGTGGTCCCCACAGAGCGGTGCCTGGGCCGTGAGGCCGGGAAAAGGGAAATGACCGTGACCTTCCAGCGACATGTGGTCACAGAGACGCAGAGACCACAGACAGGCTCAGCGAAGGTCGAGGCCGACGGGTCAGGGAAGATGCCCGCCGAGGCCGGGACTCCCCACCGCAGCTGCTTCTAGTTCAAGGTCAATGTCAGGCCGCCATGCAGGCCTCCCCGGAGCCGGTCAGCTTAGCGAGTGGCCCCTGTTCGCCCACTGTTCTCGCTCCTTTAAATCCCATTTTTCGATTGTAGTTATCGAATCCAAAACGCTCCAAGGAAGCAAAGGGCAGCACAGCTTTCACAGCCCCGGCGTCTTCGTCGTGGAAAACACGACCGTGGAGTTTCAGAGGGGCCCCGACAGGCAGACCTTCAAGATTCCGGGGCCCCTGACGGCCGACTTCATCTTCAAGGTAGGACGCGCCTCTTTGTAACCAGGGGACCAGGGTGTTGGGGAGGGGGTCATCTGAAGCTCCACACATCCTGAATTTTTATTTTTAGTTAATCCTCACCGAGGACATTTTTCCATTGATTCTTTTTTTTTTTTTAGCTTTTTATTTAAAAAAAAATATTTTATTGATTTTTTTTACAGAGAGGAAGGGAGGGGGATAGAGAGTTAGAAACATCGAGGAGTGAGAAACATCGATCAGCTGCCTCCTGCACACCCCTCACCGGGGATGTGCCTCAACCCAGGTCAGGCCAGCGCTCTATCCATTGAGCAGAACTGGTTAGGGCTTTTTTTTTTAGCTTTTTAAAAATATTTTCTTATTAATTTCAGAGAGAAAGGGAGAGGGAGCGAGAGATGGAAACATCCATGATGAGAGAGAATCATGGAGTGTCTGCCTCCTGCACAACCCCTACTGGGGATCGAGCCCACAACCTGGGCAGGTGCCCTTGACTGGGAATTGAATTCAGGACCTTTCAGTCCTCAGGCCGACGCTCTATCCACTGAGCCACACCGACCAGGCCTCCATTGATTCTTAGCAAGAGTGGAGGGTGGGGGGAGAGAGTGAGAGAGAAACGTCGATGTGAGAGAGACATAGCCATTGGTTGCCTCCTGCACGTGCCCCAACTAGGGCCTAGGGCAGCCGTGGGCAAACTACGGCCTGCGGGCCGGATCCGGCCCGTTTGAAATGAATAAAACTAAAAAAAGTACCCTTTTATGTAATGATGTTTACTTTGAATTTCTATTAGTTCACACAAACACTCCATCCATGCTTTTGTTCCGGCCCTCCGGTCCAGTTTAAGAACCCATTGTGGCCCTCGAGTCAAAAAGTTTGCCCACCCCTGGCCTAGGGTCTAGACTGCAACCGAGGGACGTGCCTTTGGCCGGAATCGAACCTGGGACCCTTCAGTCCACAGGCCGGCGCTCTATCCACTGAGCCACACCGGCCAGGACCGGGCACAGCAGCCTGAATTAAGACAACGCATGCGGTCAGCGGGAAGCCCCCAAGGATTGCTTTCACACCGAGTGTATCATTGATGTTTCCTTCTTGGCGTCAATTCCAAAAAAAAAAAATGTTCATTTCTCTCAAATTTCTGCTACTGAACCTCAGCAGTTGAGAAACAAACATCACTTTTCTAGGCGAGAGATTGATTTTGTATTTGTCGCCTCCAGTGACCATGTTCCGTGTTGTTTTGTTTTGAATATATTTTTATTGATTGTTCAGAGAGGAAGGGAGAGGGAGAGAGAGAAACATCAGTGATGAGAGAGAACCATGGACCGGCTGCCTCCTGCACACCCCCCACTGGGGATGGAGCCCGCAACCCGGGCCTGTGCCCTGACCGGGAATCGAACCCTGACCTCCTGGTTCCTAGGTCTACACTCAACCACTGAGCCACGCCGGGCATCTCTGCTTCTTCGTAAGAGCAGGGGCATGTGACAGCTCACCTGCTCGTTACCATGGCAATGATTGGATGATTGTCGTCTGTCTTTCTATTCTTTCTCCCTGGTCGTTTGTTCTGCATAAATTCTCTGCTCGTCTCATGTGCCTTAGGGTTTTCCGTGCTGATTCTCAAGTAGTAAACACACACACACACACACACACACACACACACACACACCACACACCTGTTGTTGTTTTTAATTAAACCTTTATTGTTGACAGTATTACATATGTCCC